GATTCCCGAACGGCCCCAGAGGATCCTAATGTTTTTGCATTTACAACATTATTTCGCTGTTTCATTGCAAAGGACAACTTACCTTTTACATTAGCTGATGGACTGATTGTTTTAATGAAGGCCATGTTTCCCGACTCTGCAATAACCCAGTGAATGTGACCGAAAAGAACTAGCCTAAATGCGCTGACAATTAAAAAAAAAAAATGACTGAAGAGCTAGTAAAAAATAGAGAAAAACTAATTTTCTATCATAATTAACGAGTCCACCGACTTCAGTATGTCAAAATGTTGTGCTAAATCAATTCTAATAATTTTTTTTTACCTGGTCAATGTTTCTGAGTTGGAATCTTCTGAGTACAGGGAAAACCCATACAACTTCATAATGGAAAAAATAGTCTTAAATAGGCCTCTTTCAATCTTTATTGGTTTTGCAGCAGTTGGAGCTTCAAATATAATGGGAGAGTACAGTTCAGTTTCAAACAGATTAAAAGGAGTCCTTCCTGGAATTGCCCAACTCAAACGCATTTTTCACTCAATCCACCTCCGTGCCTCTAAAACTGCAAGGTCTCCTCCTCGCGGCCGTGAGGATTGACTGAGATCACTCTATTCTTATTTTTCTAGCAGCAGTAAGAGGAAAGGGAGCTTCAGGAGTATGAGGCGATCTGTGAAGTTAAACCTCACAAACTTCTCCATCCCTGCCAAACACGGTGGCTCTCTCTAGTTCAGCCAGATGACCGTGTATTGGAGCTTCGGAACCCATTTGCTTTTGTATTTTTCCTCTGTAGAGCCTTCTGTATATTTGTATTATCCTTTTCTTTCATTTGTCCAAAATCAAGGATCTTCATTTGTATATTAAAGCAACAGCCCTAAAATACACTGCACACAATGCATGAACGTATCTAACTGCATAAAACTATACATGGATTGTTATTCGACTGAATTAAAACTCTTCCAGATTACGTAAATAGAAAAAAATAAATGAATCTTGCACAGTCTTCAACTTATGTTTCCTCCACAAATATTGCCAAGATTACTTTCCGTAGACCTGATCTACCGCTCCTTGCTCGACCATATCAACCCCCCCCCCCCCCGCCGCCGTCAATGTCAAAATAGGCCACCCTGTTAAACACGCACCACACCCCGATACCCTGTGTGTGCCCAACCTGGCCATGATCGATCAAACTGCTCTGCACATCACGCACATGTGCCAATTGTGGTGGCTCCCATAATGTATTTTATAGGGCTCCCCTACCTGCAAATTTGAGTCTGAGGTGATAATTCTCAGATTCAAACTTACTTCGTAAGGAAGCACGCAGACGATTTTTTTCTTGTCCCTACTTCAATACTGTACTTTGATCTGCCCCTCGCCTCCTTCCCGAGGGGTTTCTACAGTTCTCCTTTTATCCCTTTCTCATCCCACTTATATCCCCTCCTTCCATTCAAATTCTTTTGACATTCTAAATCCAGACACCCCAATCGTCACCACTACTCCAAACACTCCAATCTCTGCTACATCAACCTGTCATTTTGCCCCTTAAACCTCTGACCCCTCTTCTCCCCATTATAAGAAAACCTGTTTCTCACAAACCTCCCCAACCTACTCCACTTCAGAAACTCTCGAAGACATTCAAAATATGTAATCATTACCCATGATACCATGCATACACCTCATCCATCCTCCAACCTTTCTGCTCCCATTCCCTCTACACTCAAAGTAATTGCTACTCATGCTCTCCCTACAGCCCCTCTTCCCACTGCCTCCCATCACAGACCATTTACTCACCCTGTCTCCTGTCTTCCCTCACCCCTCTTTGCACCTTTCAACGCCTTACTATCCTGAATTGCTATACTTCTGACGAATAGCAATAATCATCAACTAACCCCCTTTACCCTTTCAGTACTAAGCCTTTTCCCATAGCGCTATATGATCTCTGATGTCTAGCACATATATTTTACTTTGTAACCGTCAACTGAAATTTGCGTTCCCCTTAATCAAATTTATGCAGGTAATCATGTTTTAGAGGCACTTCAAATCAATAAATACATTACTAATCCACAGGTAGTTGCCAACTTCCTGTTCAGTGCAGGGTTCCTCATAACATTTTGTCAGCAAATTAGGGGTGATCCCCTATCTTGGGCCTCAATGGTCATATATCACTATGGTAAAGTATTGTGGTGAAAGGGGTTTAAAGTTCTTCAGTAGAACAAATCGTCTTAGGTTTCAATGGAAGTATAAGAGAGTATGGTAGTGAAAGCAAATGGGGTAGGATAGGGATTCACAGACGGGGAAGGGTTAAGGATAGGGGTTGGTTAGATCAAATGGAGGGTACTTATACATCTGAGGAAGAATATTTTGTCAAATGAAAAAGGAGGATGACTTGAGGATGTTCGGCAGGTTGGGGGGTTGGGGAATGGAGGATAAGTAAGGAAACGCAAGGGTACGGGCTCCTGTAAAGCGGGGCAGAATAGTAGGATATATATGACTGAAAGAGGAACATTGCATGAGGAGCATAGATGTGGGTTGGAGGTATGAATGCGTCAGTCGAGCGTGCCCTATTCTTAACAGGGAAAGAGAGTTTCCTAGCGTCTGTTCTGGCGGTATGGTACCGATCAAGACGTGCAAGGGACTGGAGGGGCAAAATAGAACACCCAATGTTAAGTCAGTTGAGGCCTTGTGTAAAGTTGTAGGAAGCATCCGTTTTACATTTACATTTTCGTAAAATCGGTGAAGGTTGGTCTTTGTATACCCTAATGAAAGTACCTATTCATCTCTATTAAGATACAATGAAATGTAGCATAAAGTTAAGATATATATTAACAAGCTTTAGTAACACACTAACTGTAATATGAAAAATATAATAGTTTGTCTTAATAATACGTTCTCTGTTATACCATGTTCAGGACTATGTCAATGTTTTGAGAAATCACGCTAGCTTTGACTTAATCTGCGGTGTTGTCTATTTTTTGAAAAAAATTATACCGCATCAGCATCCAAATCATTAGCGGCGTAATCAAAGATAGCGATTGGGTGAGGCTGGGGATGCACTCCCCGGGTAATGATTTTTTGTTCATAATGCAATGCTTATGAATTACCAGAGTGGTCAATGTTCAAGACAAATAAATATACCATCAAAGATCATACAGTACTATGATAAACTTGAGGAGAAAGGTCAAAATGAGTTAGCGATTAGAAGTCAAAGGTAAGACAGCTCTTGTATTTCATTCATTTATTAAATTTCATTGACGGGGTATTCAAAATATAGCGATAGGGTAAGGCTCGAGTCCCCAGGTAAGGAAAGGTCATACAGCAGTATAAAATACTGTGGCGAAAAGGTTAAGAATGGGAACGATTAGGAAAAATATATTAATTGTCAAAAGTTGTAGAAAGCTTTAGGTTAGTATGGTAGTAACAAGGGTAAAGAGGAAAAAGCAAACGGATTACGAAGGCCATTCCGGACAGACACAAAGCCAGGCTTTTATCCTTTCAGCACGGCACGGCGCTCCCACTTTGGGATATGGACAATAGAGAAGGAAGAGAAAAGACGATGCAAAATTAATCGAGGCAAGGGCTGAGGTCCAAGGTAGGGGCGAGTCCCCACATTGACCCTGTCTCCGTCTCCTACCCTCCCAATGACGAGGAGCAAGGGATTGGGGGGGGGGGACGTTGCCTGTCCGTTGGTGTCATTACTTTGAACATGCATACTTATAAGGCCTAAATTTTTGGACATCTGCAGCCACGTGGTGTTAAGCCATTACTTATTTTATCTTTAGTAATTGTATATGCAGTAGCCAATTAATTGATGTTCAGAAATGAGGACAAGCACATGCTAGCCAAAATTGCCTCTTAATTCAGTATATGTTGTCCAATCATGTTCAGTACAGACCCTGTCCAGACAGGCGACCTTGCCTGTGTGCAGGCTAAGGCTTTCGTAGGTATTTATACTGGTATCCAAATGACTTTAGTTGGACAGTCAGAGCCTGGCAGTAACAAACAGGATCGAGAGCTGTACAACATGGATCGTAGAACACAAGAGAATCGTTATAACAATGTGCGCAAAGAAAATCTAGGCTGAAGAAAACGTGCTGTAAAGATTGCTTCAAATAGAAAACTTATGAAGTCATGTGACAACAATGCGGGAATTGACAGACCGGAAGCAGATTATGCCAACTCCATGAGAATGGACCCTAATACATTTTATAAATTTTTCTGAAGTGGAGCCTTGTATCATGAAACAAGATCATGAGGCAGAGCATTTCAGACATGGCTCTTGTCGATACAACTATTTAGTTCAGTTAATTCTCAAAACTAATGTTCTTTGGACATATATGATGATTGGTGGGACACGAAAACTGACAGCTCGTGGGTTCTGCGGCACTGTCAGTGCCTGCGTCTGGCAGCAATTTCATACCACCAACTACCGCCTAACCTTGAAAAACAACAGGCAAACCGTCGATACATCTCTAAACATTAGAGTAACCTTGTACACATCTTTGCTCGCGATTTCTCCATTTTGACGTCTCACCGAGCAAACCTCATCTGCATGGACGGGGTTTTTATGTGAGGATGCTTCTGGTTGTCAAATTTATCGTAGTCTAATTCCAATGCCTACTTTTCTTTTCCATGCGTAACTCGAAACTCCCATTTATTTACCAGCGGCTTTCGAGGATGATAAAAAAAAAAAGCATACAAATGCACATGGTATACTAAAAACAGCAGCAGCAGACCAGCAAATAGTTTAAGTTATTATCTAGGCGGCTCTTGCGCAACTCTAGTTCCATTAAATCTTAATTTAAAATTGTACTATATTCCCTCTGGTCTAGTGGATTATCTCTTAGCAAGAAATAATGACCATTTGTCATATTCAAAGTAATGTTTCTTACTGTTGTATTTTTCAGCCTAAATTGGAAAGGAAAACCCTTAGGCTGGGTTACCTGGTAATTCAATGTTAACAAATATAGGTTACCAAATGTAAAGTTTACAAAGGACAATAATAAAAACAATCTTCGTCTTAGTTTATTTAGGATTTTTAAGCATTCTGCCTTGGGTCCTTCTTTGTACCACGGATGAGACCAGTCCTTCTGGCGGCGATCAGACCAACCTTGCGACCAGCACTCTTGTTTCTGGATACAGTGGAAGCCTTACCAATATGTTGATGGTTACCACCACCATGAGGATGCTCTACAGGGTTCATGGCCACACCACGCACCTTAGGCCAGCAGTTCCTCTTCACCCTATACTTATGGTAGGCACGACCAGCCTTCAGGATAGGCTTGTCAATACGTCCACCACCAGCAACAATACCTACAACAGCAATAAAATATATGAGAACACTGCCATAAATATTACAAGGAAAGTAGTATAAATATATTTGTTACACAAAATATGGCTAAAATCAAACCCAGGGATGGAGTCCTTCATATTAATGCAACTAGTTGATATTCATAAGAATATATTACTGATGCTGTCATTTTGCAATTCAGCATACTTTATTCAGTCAACAGCTTGTGTATGCAAACTGCTGGACAACACTTACAGGAATATACCAAAGCTTCTTTACTTACCAATCATGGCACGGTTGGCAGAGGGCAAAACCTTCTTGGCTCCTGAAGGGAGCTTTACACGGGTCTTCTTGGTTTCAGGGTTGTGGGCAATGACCTGAGCATAATTGCCAGATCCACGGGCAATACGGCCACGGTCACCAGTCTTCTCCTCAAGGTTGCAAATGATGGTACCTTCAGGCAGATTTCCAATGGGGATGACATTGCCTACATCAAGGTTAGCTGCAAGAAAAGAAAAATGTCTTATAAAAACTGTTTAAGTTATTTCTCTAATACTTAATAGATATTAAGACTTTACACTTTTATATTATAGCATATAAATGTATAAACAGGACACTTCCTCTTTAGTCATAACGGATATAGTATTAAATTAAAATTAATTTCATGCATGACTAGATAATACTTTTCTGCTAGCTGGTTATCACTGGACAAATGTAATCTTTAAATGATTTATTGCATTTACTGCAAGGGCAAAACATTCTGCATTATATTATGAAGTGTTCACAAATTTCACTTATAACAGTGAAAGGTTGAAAATACTACATTAACCCATTAATGCTACTGTCACAGGAAAGATATGTCATGGAAAATTTTGGCCAAAGGCCAGGTTGACCATGTTACAAGTCATGGAAAAACTGCCGGAAGTCCAAAGTGATTGGAATATCTCTCCACAAATCCAAAAAGCTCTTAGAGGTAGATAATGCAGAGCATAGAGGAGGACTTGCATTTTCCCAAAATGTACCACTGAGGAGCCATGGCTGAGAGAGCTATTACAATGTTCAGGATCCAATTCTGCCAAATATGACCAGTGATGCAGAGTGCATTACAGAAAATTGACAAAATATTTGTTGAATACCTTGAGATGTTATCAAGTCATGCTTTCCTTGCAGTTTATTACAATCAAGACATATGCCAAATAAAAAATATGGGCCTTGGAATACTTAGGCAGTAAAACAATGCAAAGGGGTGGCAAATCTTTACCCCATGCACGAGTTCTATGAGCCATGCCTAAAAAACAAGCCTCAACTAGGAGAGCTGAATTAAGTCTGAAGGCCTGTCTACACAGGCAGGCAACTACAGAGCTGGTGTCAATTGAAAAACACAAAGAAATTACTTGTAGATTGTCAGCCCATGACTATCTTTATACATGTCCTCCCATGTGGAAATGCCTTAATGACCAGATTCTACATCACATGCAGGCAGTGAGGGCACACAGATCTAATGGAAAAGAGGCAATGTTCAATTGTTTCGCCTTAATTTTTTTTTCTTTACCCTTCATTACTGGGTATGGCTATAGCTGTCATGTTGTATTTGGGCATTATGTCATAACGCTTCAATCTTTGCTCTACCAAGCAAAATTCTGGCCCTGTTATAATAGGGGTTAACATTCTATAGTAGACAGACTGGATTTGTAGTATTCCCTTGCTTTTATCTAAATTCATGCTGTACTTAAGCCATCAACACATTCAATGTAAACTGCCATTATTGAGGTATCAAGTTAATAAGCCTAATTCTAGGTTATCACTTTCACTTTTAACCAAATAAATCTTGCTTACCCTTCTTGCCGCAGTAGACAAACTGTCCAGAGTACATGCCCTCAGCGGCAAGGAAGATCTCCTTGCGGATCTTGTAACGATAAGGGTCACGGAAGTGCACAATGGCTAGAGGAGCACCACGGCCAGGGTCATGGATGATTTGCTGCAATAATGTTACACATTTATAGGATTCAAGACAATTTTTCATCACTAATAATTAAATACTAAAAAAAAAAAAAACATTCATGATAATTACTTGTTACATCATCAACTTCTCATAATGGTCATGGGAACCACATCAGAATGGGTGATGCAAATTTGATCTGCCTCATCTTATCACCAAAATCTCTATAGAAAAACTTGGTGCGAATGATGAGGATGCACAAAGGAAAATTAAGATTTTACCCTAAAGCTTTAATTCCTAACATTAAGTAACATTAAGTATCCTGAATATAAAACGGCTCAATAATTCTTAGATTACTCAGTAATTTCTTTGGCAACGTCAAGTGGTTTTATAACTTTACCTTATGCCATAATCTACTGTAAAGTCAGATGAACTAGAAATTATAAACACAGAGCATTAATGAGTCAAATTTACACAATATATTCTACCTTAATGATACCACGGAGGTATCCATGACGTTCTGCATAATCGATAGCACGAAGGGCAGGCTTTCCCTTACGGGTGTGGGTGTGGGACTTGAACACCGATCCTCTTCCCTTCCTCTGGGCACGGATTACGCGACCCATCTTGCTGTAAAACAAAGAATTAACATTAAAGATTGTACCAAGGTTGTGGTTAGTACATATGAAAAGCAAAGGGGGAGGGGTGAGAGAGGTATACAATAATAATGATCTACAAGTAATATATTAAGAAATTCCCCTAAAGCCTTAGTTGAGCAAATTTACCAGTTAAAATTTGAACAATTCAAATTCTATCTATAATCAAACAAAGGTACAAGTAAATAATTTTCCTTGATAATTGTTTCAATATCAATCTTCTCATAATGGTTAAGGAAACCATGTAAGAATGGGTGACATGAAATTCATCTTCCTCAATGTTATCACCAATATCTCTAAGAAAAAAAACTTGGTGCGAATGATGAGGATATGGGGTCTTTTCTATGAATTATTTAATTCTAGGGATTTCAGAGAACTTCAACATACCGATGTTATAGGTCTCTTAAAACTCGTAGCACAAAAAATACATATGTACACAATGTGTACATTTTTCTGTCCATGTAAACTTGGGCAAAGACGAAACCATGGATACCAAAACTTTAGCTACATCTACATTAGCAGCATGGAAGTGGGCAAAAAGGATATTTTCAAACCCTAATCAGTATGTGTCCATACTGGAAATGAATGCAGACAGGCCATTATGGGCTAGAATTTGATAGTTTTCTCATTTGACCCAAGCACTAAGAATTTATGGCATCAAGAATGAACAGCTATATTCTTTCACAACAACAAAAAAAGCCTGATAAAGCCAGTATGACCTTCAGCTAACTGAGCTTGCACTTTCCAAATTCCCTAAGCATAGAACTTCTGAAACTAGAGAAAATGACCTTACAGTCAATTTGAAAACTACCACATCAGATGATGTTGGTTCCTGTCAATCCCAGCAACATTTATACACGAAATTGTGAACTTCACAATAACTGCCCGAGGGGAGCGTTGTTGGGAGGCAGAGTCTGCCCTTAAATATTGTCTTTGCCTGTTTGCATATCAAAGTTTGAGCTGAAGCTTGGAGCTCAAAAGTTTCAGATTTACATTCCTAAGCATAATGAGGTGGACAAGGTTTCCCAAGGAGTGATAGGGGGCAGTGCCCCCCATCAACCTTCCCCTTGGGCATACCTAGTAAAAGCAACTTAGATTGACAAATCTAGTGATGTGGAGGTTGGGACTTAGGGGCCAGTTTAAAGTTGTGCAATGCCTGACCCAATTAATGTTCACATGTACTGACATGCACATTCACAGAAATAAATGCACATTTCTCTGATATACGAACATCTATCTAGATGCCCTGGCAGACATGTTTGTCTAGACTGATACATGTGTATTTAGATCTGTGTACATGCATGCCGGTGTGACGCTGGATCGGAGCTTGCGCACCGATCCATTGCGGGCAGATTCCAGGCCAGCCCCTTGCGCAGATTCTGAAGCTGCCCAGAAACTGTTGCTTCGGCTTCAAAATATACTGTCGCTAGTGGGTTAAACCATGTAGTGCTACAATACAAATATGAAGGGAGTACTCCATCTAAGGAGAAACATCAATCTGACTAAGGGCATTTTCTGTATCTACCATAAAAGTTAATCCAGTATTTAAATTTAATCCAGACCACTAGTGAGCATGCACAATGGCAAAGTCCAGGCTCAACTTTTAATTCAGCTCTGAACCATATTAACTATCAAGCTCAAAATTTAATTCTGCACATGCGCAGAACGAGTTAATCCCACCAATTGTGTATCAATTTTGATATTTCCATAGAAAAGATGGAGTTGAGCTGCCATTAAGGTATATTATGGGCAATAAAGAAAGATTGACATTTCCATATTATAGATGTATATGAAAATTCCTCAAAGTATATTTTTATAAGCTGTGGGATACTCAAGCTGCAGACATAACTCTCGACAGTGTAAAGAATAATGAACAGAAAATCTTAAAATTTCAGTTTACACATACAGAGAAGGCAAGGTTATATCCGAACTTATGTAACATAAAGGTCTAAAAAAGAAAGCATTTAATTACATCACAATTACATTTCAAATTCAAATTACAAACTTTCCAAATTTTTATACTACAATGACTTCAAATCCACGTGAAAATTTGTTATATTCCTCGGTGGTAACATCCTGAAAATACTACCCTACACCCGTGCCCCGAGATCACTCACGAGAAAGAGCTCTCGGAGAAAACTCCTGCGAAAATTATACTGAAGTTATAATGAAGTCACCTATAAAATCCAATGGGTATTTGGAGCCAATTATATTTTTATTTGTAGTGACAAGTGCGTATCTTCATGATATAATACTGCCGTGCATGTATATTTTTTTCTCAATAGCAAAGTCTTGTTATCAACATTAGCACGTCATGTGAAACTCAAAGAGGATGACTGCTTATTGCCACTACACAAACCCCTGTTCTTCGCTGTAAAAGAACAGATCTACTGACATTCACATCGACTCGTGTGTCCGGCAGTGTCTCACGTCTTGTGCAAGTACTGTGGATTCGGATCGAGCTTCAATGATGCGTACAGAAGAAACCGTTAGTTCAAAGGTAGAGTGGATTTCATTAGTAAAAAAGGACGAGAAAAGTAACTTTCACGGTGTCAGTCACATCCGTATCAAGATCGGCCTACAACGAACTTTATAAACCTCAGTGAAGTTGTATCAACACAGACTCCCTACACTTAATACTAAAAATTATCCATTTACTTGTACTGTTATCTCTATCTTTAACATATTTATCATGTATGATGAATTAACAACTTGAACTCCATAACCAAGGATAATATTTCGAAAGGAATATTAATATCAACATATGCAATACCACTTCATTACTTCTACCACGAACAAGAAGTTACCACGGTTCCTTTTGCAAATTATGCTTCAGTCTTTCATCGGCTTACCACAAATCTGAAGTCCTAAGTTAAGGGAACTAATCACTAACAAATTCACCAGCAAGAAACAAGAGGTCACGTGCTATTTAACACTCGGAACCTCATGCCGGATTTGTTTACTTCCCGCGGTAACCATAACACACTCGACACTTTCACAATTTAAGATAATCTTCCTCATAAAGCACCTTCAATCAATTTTCTTTTCCTGTGGAACTGATGTGGGGTAACTGGCGTCCTCAGAGGACCGCGAGATAAAGTCCTTCGACGAGGGATAATACCGATATAGAGAGATAAAAATAGGGATTCTCTTCAGGTTTACACACCTTGGCTCGAGTAGTGACGAAAGGAGAGGCGCTGCTGCTGCCCTCTACACCATAACACGCTGACAAGTGACGGCCGGAATGCGCAACGTTGATATATCGGGGAAATGGCAAGATTACAATTTTTTCATATTCATACTGGATAAAACTACCTTTATTAAATACTTGATGATAAAAGATTCGTATTAGGAAGAAGATAAAAATCGCCACGTAGCGACGAATCGCGCACAATTGCGCGATATCCCAATCTCTCGTCAAAGTTAAAAGCTATATCTTGAAAAATTCTTACAGAAATTATATAGGCTTGCATAGCAAATTGTATTAATAAAATAGTATATCAGATACAAAAAACGCGAAAAGAAAGAAGAAAGAGAACGAGAGAAAATAAGAGAGAAGAGAGAGAGAAGTATAGTTCCCCGGCGACCGACAGATGGCTCTGGCGGTCCGGTGACGTCACGGCCGAGGAAATTGGCTTTGTCCTCCTCAGCGAAGAAGAAGACGGTGACCTGCGCCGAGTGCCCGCCCTTAGAACCTTAAAAACTCAAGTTCATTTTTTTTGTACTATGAGTAATGTACCCACCCACAATGGAGTAGGTCTAGAGCAGCAGGTGAGCATGATTCGAGGCGAGTGGGGTTAAAAGTGTTCGAAATAGAGCGAGATAAAGAAGGGTTGGTTGACGGAAGCGGCGGCCGAGGATGGCAGCTGACAATCCAATCAATTCTTTCGAGTCGTGGAAGCTCAGGTGCGGAGTATATTTAATTCGTCTCTTCTCGCTTGCGATTGAGGAGCCACAAGGTAGAAAAAGACGAATTATGGAAATTAAGTCCCGAAAGTTACGGAAAATCGGAGAATAGAAGAGAAAAAGAAGCGTTGAATGTGGCCTTCCTCGCAGCCTCCGCCACCAGGTTGATTTTCCTCGCCAATAAATGCCTCTCAAAGTTAACACTCGTAGAAAATTCTTGAAATATTATGAGGAAAAAATATAGGACCCTCCCCCTCTCTCAACACGCTTGATGCAATAAGGAAGTAATAACGAGAGAATTGGAGCGTGTAGGCCTATCTCCCTGTTCCTCCACAGAGAGCCGCAAAAAATACTTTCTGAATCCAATAATATTTTTCAACGTCGATACCCCAAATTTGAGTGATTCGACCGTTCGGTTTGGTTCTTCATTGCAAAGTATTTGTAAAGAGTTACTTTGCCAAAAGAGGAAGGAGTGAGTTTGAAAGTTTTAAAAAGATGATGGGTTAGTGAATGGCTTATCTCCCCCCAACCCCCGTCTCCTACGCTATTTACAACCATATATGACGACGTTTTTTCATAGTTTTGTTTAGTATGTGTCATAATTCATTAGTTTTCTGCTATGTACAGTACCATTACACTTACTCAGATAGACTAATGCAAATGGAATACAGTATGTGGAGATCAGTGCCAACCATACAGGGAGCAAACATGTTTACAATCTGTATTTTATGGTTAGATTTCAGTGTAAATGAGGAACTAAAATTAAGAAAGTGTGTTTCAAATGATTTCCTCTTCAGTTTTCAGTTTTACTAGGTTTTGTGAACTGCTTAACCTTTCACTCCTTTGCTCTATAAGTTATTCAAAGGCTTCCATCAGGACTGTTTGTTTGTTTCTTAATGCATTGTACAATGATAAGATTTCTCTTGTTTGAAACTTAGTTGCTTGTTTTGTATTTTTTAGTGCATTGCATGTCAGAAATTTATATATAATTGATAGGGAAGGAATGTTATGAAAATAACTCCAGTCTTGCATACTTCACTTCTAAAATTACCAAAAGCTATGCGATGCTTAGCTCCAATAATATAATAGTATAAGTTATAGATAGATTTAAGGCCTATACCAGATGTCAAAAAACATATTGTATAATATGGATCAGTTAAGGTTGTATTGTGTGTGTTACCCACATTTACATCTATTAAAAGCATGCACATATATGTACATAAATATATTCTGTATTGTCAAGAGATCAATATTCATTAAATTTAATGAGTTTCTTTGAAAGATAGTATAGCAGCTTAGACAATGTGCAGTGATTTCAGGAAAGGACCAATAATATTTTATGCAAAGCATTTGAAGCATGGTGTAATACTTGAGATGGATGAATTGTAATCATTGTAATCACACACTATCAAGCCAGTCATTTAGACCACCATTCAGTGCTTAGGCAAAACATAAGACTTCCACCATATATATGTTGGCAAGATAAATGATAAATTCTTTCATAGGGAGATCCTAGCTTGCCAGAATGTGGTCTATGTATCTTTAGCTTTACTAGTCCTTGTAAATTGAGTAATTTTTTTTAATGTAAATGTTAAGTGTTTGTTCAATGAAGATTAAATCTTTAGTGCTGAAAGGAACAGCCTAATCTTCAGGTATGTTTATGTTTAAAGTATGTTTACATATATATGAATTGATTAGGTGCAAATGCTCTTAGTTGTTAGATACTGCAAAGATCCTTAATTTTAGAAACAAGCATTAGAATAAATGGCTCAACTGAGTCACTGGAAACTGAAATAGTCACCACCTTTATATGCACACATGAAATATTTACATTACCATGGAAATATTTAGTAAAAGGAAAGAATTGCTTGTTAAAGAATAAGAAATCCATTCCTTTCACTTGACCAATGATTTTTAAATCTGCAGGACACGTATGTGACATTGAGTGGTATTCATCAGGTAAATAAATGTCTTGCATATATGACACTGGTGGTAAATGGGTTAAAGGTGACCACATAGCTTTGAGGAAAGGTTATAACTCTGTGGAAAGCTGGATACCATGAATCTTTCTATTAAATTGATAACTAAAGTGGATGGATGGGGAATGCTTAGGAGTTTACAGCATAAGAGCTTGGTCGAGACATTTACAGTGTTTCACAAGGCTAATATTTTGATCAGAAATCAGCTTTTGGCATTTTGTTTTATTTGTGAATGGATGGGTGAAGGACCTCACTTGCTGGTCAGAACTGACCTGACTTTCAGGTCATTAGTATGGATATTTATAGACGTGCTTTTCCTGATTTAGCTAATATTTCTTGTATACTCTAGCAGATGTCTCCTTTCCTCCATGCATTTTATCAGAGAGAGACATTCAGTATTTTCCTGGGAGCCTTTATAATTAATTTTAAATTTTACTGAAATGTTCAAGGAAAGGGACAATTTAATTTTTTTATTTGAATCATGAGAAGCAAAATTTGTCCTACTCTAGTTCAGCTATTCAAGTTCTAATGGTAATGCCTTCGCTTCATATTTAGGAACTTTATTGTTGGTCCATTGACCATAAAAAGAATATATATCTTGATAAAGAATTTAACATAGGAGTACAATGTGACATTAAGACCAGTTTCCTCTTTCTGTGTAATTATAAAGGTCAAGAGCAGTTTACTAACTATAAAAATATTTTTTTTAATTATTGATGTCAGGTTACATTAGTAAGAATTTTTATATTTATATAAATATGCATACTTATAAAATAGATAACAAATTCAGAACTTTTACTGTGGTTTAATACTGCTGTGTGGATGAACATAAATGTTGAACAGGAAAATTGTTGTCTCGGAAGAGGAATGTTACCTGTACATTCCAGTTGCTTATAGGTGTATGGAATAAAAAGTTAAGTTTGTGGAGATGGGACTGGAGTTCTCTTACACATTTGTTATTTAAACACACCAGTAGGTTTAAAGCAATATCATTCTTGCACTTTTTCTGTCAATTTTTGTTTCCATTACTGTATGCAAATTTACTGAATCTATCATACTACAAAAGCAGTAAGCACAGTGCCCATGTAAGCAAACATTGTGTCATCTGAGTTAGGTATGCTGTATATAGAAATATTCAAGAATATGTATGCAAATGGACTGACCCTATCATACTACAAAAGCAGCAAACATAGTGCCATTTAAACAAACATTGTGCCGAGTTAGGTATATTGTATAGAAATATTTAGAAATATCATTATTGTTACCTGGATGATGCACCCTCCAGAGATAGTCCTAAAATAAGGGTATCGTGTAAATCCAAAAATCCAAACCAAACCAAACCCTCCATACCTTCTATTTACTCCCCAAACAAGAGGGAAGCCCCTTATATCCCCATTTATTAGTACTTGGTGCCAACTTCTAGAAAGCTAAGCATTAAGAACTATATATATATTATATATATTTATATTAATGTATGCATGTGGATGTGTGTATATCTATATGTGAATGTGGATGTGTGGATGTATATATGTAAATGTGGATGCATGCATGTATAAGTATATGTGGATGGATGTATGTATGTATGTATTTGTATATTTTTATGTATGTTTTTTATGTATATATTTGTGTGTGTGTATATATATATATTATATATATATATATATATATATATTATATATATATATATATATATATATAATGTGTGTGTGTATGTATATTATATGTATATATTTGTGTATGTATATGTATATAAGTGTACATATCTGTATGTATGTATATATGTGTACATATCTGTATGTATGTATATATGTGTACATATCTGTATGTATGTATATATGTGTACATATCTGTATGTATGTATATATGTGTACATATCTGTATGTATGTATATATGTGTACATATCTGTATGTATGTATATATGTGTACATATCTGTATGTATGTATATATGTGTACATATCTGTATGTATATATGTATGTGTACATATCTATATGTATATATGTATGTGTACATATCTGTATGTATATATGTATGTGTACATATCTGTATGTATGTATGTATATGTACATATCTGTATATATGTATGTATGTGTACATGTATGAATGTATGTATATATGTATGTGTACATGTATAATGTATGTATATATGTATGAATGTATGTATATATGTATGTGTACATGTATGAATGTATGTATATATGTATGTGTACATGTATGTATGTATATATGTATGTGTACATGTATGTATATATATATATGTGTGTACATGTATGTATGTATATATGTATGTGTACATTTAT